TTTATACAAAATTAATTACAAATGTTATAATTAATCATGTTTAAAATATAAGTTAAAAAATCTCATTTATTATTATTATTATTTTAAACAAAGGTTATTTATTACTCTATTTTTACTCAACTAAATATATGTTTGTACTATTTATTACGGGACCAGAAATAAAGGGAATAATTAAATTATGAGTTCAGTGGAATGTAACCATAAGGAAAGAAAGAAGAGATTAGATATTAGGATTTATTATTTTTTAAATATATGTGTTCTTAAAATACAAGTTAAAAACTTTTTAAATATAAATATAAATATTTAATTTATTATTTATTTAATTAAATCTTATCTACATAACAACAACTCTACAATTAACACCAATTTTTATTACTTTATGGTAAAAAAAATACTATTAACCTATACCCTTAAGAAAAACCTACTAGTGGTGACAACTTTAAAATTGAAACAGATGGCGACCACCTTGTCACTTGGCACTTAGGTGTAGGGATAGCAATTCTACCAGTTCTCCATTGGGTTTGACGAGGATCCCCGCCACGAGAATGGGGCAAGAACAAGGATAATTTTCTCTCCGCAAAATTTTGTGGGGAATTTTTCTTGCCTCACGAGGATCCTCATTCCTGCAAAAAAATAAAAAAGTTTTTATTTTAAAATTAATTTATTCTTTAAACTCACACTCAAACCCAAACTCAAACCTAAATTCAATCCAATTACAATTAAACTTAACACAATACTATCCAACCCAACCCAACCCATTCCCCTACATTTAACCCTAACCTTAATTTATTTTAATTCTCATCACTCAGTCTCACTCTCAATCTCTTTGTCTGCAGCTCACCCATCTCTCACCTCCATCTCACCTTCAGTTTCCTCTGTTGTTGCTGCTGTCAAATCCATCTCCTCTGTTGTGCCAGATCCATCTGCTTTGTTGCTGCTATCGAAGACATCTACTCTGCTGCCATTGCTGCCGAAGCCTACTGTTGCTGAAGCCATTTACTTTGTTGTTGTCGAATCCATCTGCTCTGTTACTGTGCCGAAGACATCTGCTCTGCTGCTGCCACTACCGAAACCTGTTGTCGAATCCATCTCCTTTGCTGTTGTTGAAGCCACCTGCTCTGTTGTTGCTGGATGTATCTGCTCTACTGCCACCGGACCCATCTGCTCTGCTGCTGCTACCACCATCGGAGCCATTTGCTATTGCTGCTACTGTCAGAGCTATTTGAGGTTAATTGGTGGAGAATGGGGATCCCCGCGAGAAATGGGGACGATGGGAAAAATCTACCCCCTCTTCAAAAATCCCCGCAATGATCCCCGTCCCCGTGATTCATAGGGACAAGGATGGGGAAGGATCCCCGCCCTGCAGGGCCCCATTAACACCCCTACTCAGGTGAAGGGTCGGCAAAAACCGATTTTAGTTGAAACCAAAACTGATTTTAAAATAACCAAAAAAAAATTTCTTGAATTTTGAAAACCAAAACCAAATTGAAGTTTTCACAAACCAATCGGTTTAGTTACCAATAAAATCAGTTCTGTTTCAATTTTTACTATATAAATATTAATCAATTTTTTTTAATAATAAATTATATTTTATCATATTTTATCATTTATCCAAATTTTGATTTTCAAGAGGTTTATTTTCGATTTTTAATTTGTGAAAAGTTCAATCGAAATCGAACAAAAATTTATTTAGTTAATACCAAAACCAAACAATAAAATTCAAAAACCATTAAAATCAAAATAAATTTATTTTTTCAGTTTAATTTCTTAGCAATCATTCGGTCACTCACCCGAATGCCCACCCCCTAGGTGAGGCCATCACTCTGACAAATACGGAGTATGTAATTTATTTTAAAGCTGCATATTACCAAATTTATGACACTGCCTTAATTTGCCAATAATTGAATCATCTACCATCAATTTCTGATTTCTGACGTACTGTGCCCAATAGCTAATCTCTCAATGCCAACCTCTGGAGCTACGTGTGTAATTTCTTATGTGTCCCACCCACATGCTCTTCAGGGGGCATTGGAGGGTTGATTCCAATTTCCAATGGCTATCATCTCATGGACCAGCCTCAGATTTTGAGCCACTTCATTTGGGCTAAAAAAATTTGGGCTTGCTCTCCCTTCTTCACCCCCTCCTTTCCTCTAGGTCATGGACTAGCTTGGATCATCATTATCTTAGTTACCTCCCTCTCTTGTGCATATACAACATGTGAGCCCAAGTTGGTCATATACATGCTGCTACCCCTTCTTCTTTTTTTTTAACAATATTGTCATGAGACAGATTAAATTAAAACCTACCCAATTAAGGGCAGAGGTGCATCTTAAGAT